AGATAGCAAATAACTACAAGCTTTGAGAGTACTAATCAAGACTTATCTTAACAACAGATTCAACACAAGGCAAGATTTATTCGAGGCACAAAAGCTGCAAGCAAACAGTAGAGATTCAGAATCATCATCATCATCATCATCATCATCATCAGCCTGACTACATCCACTGCAGGACTAAGGCCTCTCCCATGTTCCGCCAGTTAACTCGGTCCTGTGCCTGCTGCTGCTAATTTATACCCGCAAACTTCTTAATCTTCATCTGCCCACCTAACCTTCTGTCTCCCCCTAACCCGCTTGCCTTCTTTGGGAATCCATTTAGTTACCTTTAATGACAAGCGGTTCATGACAAGCGGTCCTGTCTACGCGCTACATGCCCGGTCCATGTCCATTTCCTCTTCTTGTTCACTGTTTTTTCTTCACACCTATGCTACAATTACTTCTAATAGCATTCCTTATACTTTCCTTGGCATTATTATCTATTACTTGTCATTAATTATATAATGAAGTTGCTTCTGGCAGGAAAACAACTTGGAGGGAAGTTCGTTATAAACAAATATTCGCTGCACTTTGTTGTTGCCTAGCTATTTTCAATAAAATTTCAATTATGAGTAATTCTTTACATGCATACTATATGCCTCAAAATTTTTCTGTATTTAAGTTTAGCAAACAAATGAGCACCTATGCATGATGAGAAAAACTAGGGAAGCACAAACATAGCAACTATTGAGTGTTTATTGGCATTGTGCAGGCCCTACGCAGGTATGCAACTAAAGGAAACTTAGTGCAGAAGAACTTCAGGACATTGGAAGTTCGTGGTTAATACTCATTGTGCAGTCCAATTAACATGTGTTAGTTAACAAAAAGTGAGTTTTCAGGGCTCATTGCATTGTTCCATTTGGCCTTAATGAAAGCAGCGCATGATAAAGCCAAGGAACACATTGGGGTACTGGGGTACTGTCCTTTTTTAAATATGTTGTAGGGATCGTAGTATAGATGGGAAGAAAATGAAGTTGATGAAAGGACAATTTGTTGCTGGCTGGGGCCAATTCTGCAACCCTCAGATTATGTGCCCGAGGCTCTATCAATTCACTTCTTCACTGACAGTGCTCATTAACTGCCGTGACGCCGTAGTAACGTTCCTAGATTTTACTAGCAGATTAACACTCCCAAGTTTGGGCGTACATAAATACTGCACTATTATGTGGACATGGGGACGTCTGCCACCATAGCTTGATAGGTACAGCACTGGACGCGTAATCCGAAGGTTGCAGGCTTGGTCCCTGCTGACGAGATGTTGTCTTAACCCAGGTTTTTAACCAAATTTGATCAAATTTGGCATGCTTGTTTAGCTTGATCTACAAACCGGTATTTTAAATATGCATTTGTTTTTTTCTGTGGGTTTGTTAATTTTCTACAGTCAAACCTGCTTATAAATAACTAGCAAAAAGTGGCTATTGGTTCGATATTTATAGCTTGCACGCAACATAACGGTCGCAGATCCTCAACGCATCAGTACTCCAACATGGCGGCTTTGATGACCTCAAGGTAGCATGATCACACGACAGCTAATCTGAATCAAGGTCACAGTGATGCCTCTGGAATACTTGTGGCTTCTGTGCAAGAATAACAAAGGAAACTGCATGCGGCTACTGATAGGGTTGACATGATATCACGATTATTGCGTCCCACCATGTTGGTAGACCAACATAGCGGCTTCAGTGATGTCTGTGCAAGTCATTTATATCTTGTAATTCTATATAGAAGTTTTATGGATCGCATATAATCAAAGGTGATTTCGATGCCAAGTTGGCTTCGTGGCTCTGCTTCCCGATAATGCAAAAGGAAAAATGTGGTTTCACCGAAGTAACTAGCAAGGGGACCTTTTTTATTAGTTATTATTTTTCTGCAGTTTCTAGTAGGTGAGCGTGTCATATGCAATGGCAGGTTATACTTGAGAAAACTTGGTATATGTCAATAGTGCCTCACTGCCTTCATGCACAGCTGTGCTTGCTTGTCAGGCATTGGAAGCCTCTGATTTGTGTTGTCCTAACATGTGTGTTCTTCTTCATTATGTACTTTGTGTCCCTTTTTTGCAGCGGCAACTTCAGGCTCCTTCTACGTTCCGAACATGGCCATCTTTGCTTAGAACAACAGGTCTTTCAGTTTTACAGCAGCTATGACATTAACAAAGTGTCAGATAATTGCGCACAACAGGCCGGCAGGCATGACGAGTAGGCTGGTGCGAATATCTGAGCACTTTGATTATTAGAACGAAAATACAGTGCTCGAATTTGCTTTGATGCGAATTCAGAGTATTAAAAATTTCAAGGTTCAAAATGAATAAATGGTGTACATTGGTGTGCATCTAACCCCCTACTGTAAAAGTGGTTTTACTGCAGTAGAGGAATGCTATTCACTCCAAGATTGAGCAAATTCGCCTCCTGGTGGCCACTGGATGAAGCGTGTCTAGTGTGGCTTGCTCCCTGCGCCGCCTGACAGCCCGATATGCTAGCATGTGCTCATCCTGAAAGGGCGGTTTGTCCCGCTCTGTTAGCGCAAGAGTACCTGCTGGTACGTTTGCCTAGCACTGTCTACAGAAGCATTTGGCCTTGCTCGACTGAATATATACTGTAATGAGATCAGGTCAGGAACTTGCCAAAAGTGCTGTGTATTGTCGTCGTAGCCTTCATTCGCCAGAATCATGTCGGTGTAGGTGCTACTTTTTAGCTGAAGCACATCGTAAAAAACACTTGGTGTCGTCCAAAGCAGGAGGAATAATAAATATTGCATGAATGAAGCGTTTTAACGACTGAAGGATAAACGAAGTTGTGTGTTGTTAGGTGTATAACTGTGGCGCTGTTGTTTATTGGTTATGTAATGAGGTTTAATCGTACTTGAGATGACCTTTCATTGTATGGTCCTCGTCGCACTACATTGCTGTCAAATAAATTCTGACACTTTGGTACTTAAATGTCCCTTAAAATAGACAGAAAAATGGAATGACACGGGGGTAATTAAACTTGAGTTGCCGTGTGCAATTTTAACATCGGGCGAAATTTACACAGACACACCTGTGTTTTTAGATTTGGGCTCGGTTAAAAGAATTCAGTTTGCCAAAATTAATCCAGACAGTGTGCGTCACACATCTCGTATGATTTCACACAGAACATAGTTTTTTTTTAGTGCTTTGGTGGTGTTGTGATAGACTGACAAAAGGAGTGGACACATATTCGCTTGAAAAATAAAACTTTTGTCTCATCAAATAATCGAACATTTGTTGCATCACTGTGATATACATAGTCAACCTAAGAAAGCTCTGGCTGAACTCTTGCCTTCTTATACTGTTATCAAAGAACAAGCTCGCTCAAGCGCTGTCAAACACGTTGCTTTCCTGAGTAATAAACTGTGCTACATTTATTTCATGAAAAGCTGAACAAGACAAAAAACGGATACGGAATTACGATATTCTTGGGCAGTGAGCCCTAAAATCTCAAAGTTACTTTTTTTTTTTAATCCAATACCAGTGTGCATAAAGAATTCAGTCGTGCTACAGCAGTGCGTAGTAGATATGACACAAGCTCAACATTTCAAATCAAAGTACAAAAAACATGACACAGCACGAAAGCACAATCACCAAGCATGGTGATATGGTGACAGACAAGCATGGTGACAGACAAGCACCAACATGGTAGATATTGTTTCTATCACAAGTAATAGTAATGTTTAACGAGCTTCGTGCATCCATTCAGCAATAGATGGCATATATATATTACGAGTAGGCAGCAATGAATGCATTTTATTCACGGACAATCGGCTCGCACTGCTCAGAATATGCGCTGCTGCATTCATTTGCATGCACGCCGCCAGCTGCCTATCCACACTAGTACGTTGATGGTGCTGCCCCCTATAGCCCTATCTCGGGGCGAATACCGTGAATGCACTTTTCCAGGAAAAATTTGCACTGCCGCGAAGCTCTTCTTCAGTGTTAAATGAATATATTACCTTCATATCTATTCATCATGCTTTAAGAATAAAATCCTGTTATACAGGCTGGTATGTTCTAAGGGTAGCAAATATTTAGCGTTACATATTTTACAAGTTGCATTCCACCCAAATCCTACAACTCTTGAAAGCTACTTGCGCTTCCTTTGAAGCAAAAAAAAAAAAGCATTTCTACATGCCTTGTTTCAATTAGTGAAAGAAAATTGTGCAGGTTAGTTGGTTGATGACAGATATAGTACAAATATACTATTTTGATTTGATTCAAAATTATTTGACGAAATCACTATTTGCTTTGAACCTAAAAATAGCTATTGGCACAAGCCTAATGATTAAATTGGATCACAGGAAATATTACGTGACGATAAGCAATAGTTTCAACTGCATCAGTGTGGTTCTGTCCTAATCACACAGCTTGCACTTCTAAATGCGCATGTGAAAGCCCCGTTTTGCGAGGAAACTCGACTAGTTGTGATAGAAAGCTAACTTTACGGGGCATTCCTCCCTGTCCTATGGTCGATACATGAAGTGTTCCCATTATTTTCATTCGATGTAAACATAGATTGTCCTGTGTGTCCGTGCTAAAGTATTATTATTTAGAAAATTCTTTCATATGAAGGATGATTCGATTTAGCTGAGTTCGATATAGTAGGGTTTGTCTGCATACAGCTGAAGCTCTTCAAAATGGCACTGATATAATACACCAGTGTGCCTACATTGTATAGGGGTTGGTCAGAAAATGAGATAGTGGTACTCTGCTTCCAAGAGACATCTCATATGAAAGACATGTGCTGTTTTCTAGTGTGTATCTCTTGTAATGGGGCTCATTTGTATTGTTAAGAAACTAAATTCTTTTGTCCTTATGGCAATGCACAAATCACAGTCTCACAAAACTGTGCCAGTAGCATATGGATCAATAGTGAAAACCACAAGACTCTCAAGATTTTTATGATGCCAGGAGTGATTCGCTTGTTGCTCTGTATTCTTTTTACCATTGCCAGTTTGAGTCCAATTTTGGGGACACCAGGAAGGAGCGTGATGCCCAGTTGAAGGTGTTTGAGGACATGCAGCGCAAGAAGCCCAAGCTTGACGTGAAGCGGGTGAGTGCCAACACCATCTCTCTCTGACTTGCAATAGCTACCATTTTTAATCTCATAATCCTCGCACCTTGTTTCACGGAAAGCCAATGAAAAGGTCGGGGGTGCGAGAATTGTAGAAGGAAAATTTTCCGCAAAACATTCGGAGAGGAAAAAAAAAGTGAAAAAGAAAATGCCTCAAATCGAAGTTATCAAGATAGCAAATAACTACAAGCTTTGAGAAGTACTAATCAAGACTTATCTTAACAACAGATTCAACACAAGGCAAGATTTATTCGAGGCACAAAAGCTGCAAGCAAACAGTAGAGATTCAGAATCATCATCATCATCATCATCATCATCATCAGCCTGACTACATCCACTGCAGGACTAAGGCCTCTCCCATGTTCCGCCAGTTAACTCGGTCCTGTGCCTGCTGCTGCTAATTTATACCCGCAAACTTCTTAATCTTCATCTGCCCACCTAACCTTCTGTCTCCCCCTAACCCGCTTGCCTTCTTTGGGAATCCATTTAGTTACCTTTAATGACAAGCGGTTCATGACAAGCGGTCCTGTCTACGCGCTACATGCCCGGTCCATGTCCATTTCCTCTTCTTGATTACAACTATGATATCCTTAACCCCCGTTTGTCCCCTAATCCACTCTGCTCTCTTCTTCTCTCTTAAGGTTCGACCTACCATTTTTCTTTCCTTTGCTCGCTGCGTCATCCTCAATTTAAGCTGAACCCTCTTTGTAAGTCTCCAGGTTTCTGCTCCACAGCTAAGAACCGGCAAGAGACAGCTGTTATATACCTTCCTCTTGAGGGATAGTGGCAATCTACCTGTCATAGTTTGAGAGTGCTTGCCGAATGTACTCCACCCCATTCTTATTCTTCTAGTTACTTCAATCTCGTGGTTAGGCTCTGCGGTTATTACCTGCCCTAAGTAGACATAGTCTTTTACAACTTCAAGTGCACTATTACCTATCTCGAAGTGCTGCTCCTTTCCGAGGTTGTTGTACATTACTTTCGTTTTCTACAGATTAATTTCAAGACCCACCTTTCTGCTCTCCTTGTCTAACTCCGTAATCATGAGTTGCAATTCGTCCCCTGAGTTACTCAGCAATGCAATGTCATCGGCGAAGCGCAGGTTACTAAGGTATTCTCCATTAACTCTTATCCCTAACTGTTCCCATTCTAGGCTTCTGAAAACCTCCTGTAAGCACGCGGTAAATAGAATTGGGGAGATTGTGTCCCCCTGCCTTACACCCTTGTTGATTGGTATTCTGTTGCTTTCTTTGTGAAGCACTATGGTAGCAGTTGATCCCCTGTAGATTTCTTCCAGAATGTTTATATATACTTCATCTACGCCCTGATTCCGCAGTGTCTGCATGACGGCTGATATTTCTACTGAATCAAACGCCTTCTCGTAATCTATGAAGACTATGTATAGGGGTTGGTTATACTCTGAGCATTTCTCTATTGCCTGATTGATAGTATGAATGTGGTCAATTGTTGAGTAGCCTGTTCGAAATCCTGCTTGTTCCTTTGGTTGATTGAATTCTAATGTTTTCTTTACTCTGTTAGCAATTACCTTTGTAAATAGCTTGTATACTACAGAGAGCAAGCTGATCGGCCTGTAATTCTTCAAGTCCTTGTCATCTCCTTTCTTATGTATTAAGATGATGTTAGCGTTCTTCCAAGACTCTGGTACCCTTCCCGTCAGGAGACACCTCGTAAACAGGGTGGCTAGTTTTTCTAACACAATCTGTCCTCCATATTTCAGCAGATCTGATGTTACCTGATCCTCACCAGCAGCTTTGCCTCTTTGCATGCTCTCCAAAGCTTTTCTGACTTCTTCTATCATTACTGGTGGGGTGTCATCTGGGTTACTGCTAGTTCTTATAGTATTAAGGTCGTGGTTGTCCTGGCTACTGTATAGATCGCTGTATATCTCTTCCACTATTTTAACTATTCTATCCATATTGGTAGTTATTTTGCCTCCTTTGTCCCTTCGTGCGTACAGATTCAGAATACCATACATAAAGTTTCCAGGTGTAGTTTAAGCGTTCGTCACTGAATGGGAGCCCGCACACGGTTTGCGTATAATGTCATCCTTGGGCTGATGGCCATCTAACACAGTATCATCCACAATTACTTTCTGAAGAAGTGAAGTTTTACTATTCATGCCAGTCTTAGGCACACGGGGGCTTTCAGCTGCCCGTGCTGCCGTCCCCAGTAGTGAACACAAAACTCTTCGACCAGTGGCCCTGTTGTCATTGTTTAGCGCATAATTGATCACTTTCAACTTGAAAGCAGCCATGTATCTTCGGTATTGTCCCGTAGTGTAACTACAGAACCGACACAACATACACCAACACACCGCCATAGCACCACAATGTGCACTTTCCACTTTGGTTTGGCTTGGATTGGGGCTCCTTGCATCGATAGTACGCTTAATGTTTGAGACATGTCGCGAGGCTGTTACACGCTCTCATCATCAGTATTTGGAGGGAGCAGACGACATTACTGCTTGAATTTTGGGGAGTGTGATAATTACTCATGAAAAAAAAAATTGTCTTTTTGTTGGGCAGTGTAGGGGATGCGAGACATTAGTGAGTGCGAGGATTGTGCGAGTAAATACGATAGTGAGCTGTAGCTTATATCTGCGTCTACTGTCCGACAAGCAGTCACTCACTTGGTGTCCTTGCTTTGAGTGAGCTGTCTTAATCATACCCCTGCAAAATACAGTCGTTCCCACATATAACGGCCCCACTTAAAACGAACTTTCGCTTAAAACGAACAATATCGGCGTGACCGTGAAAGTATATATTGGTTCAATGGCACAAAATCGCACTTACAACGAACATCTCCGAGCGCTGATGACCGGTTTCAGCGAACGGAGTCTGCGGTCTGCCGACTTCCCGAGAAACCACTTTCGACCACGGATCAGGCATCGGTGAGGTCCATACGTTCTTATTGTTAAACGCCAACTCTGCCTCCACGCCCCTCTACTTGCCGCTCTCCCCGACCGCTTTTTGTTACGCACTCCTCCGTTCTTTGTCCCCCGCTACTCTGACCACTGCGCATCGCCAGACGAGGGCCGTGTTTTCACACTGCCACTGATCTTTCGAAGACCGGTCGGCCATCTCTGTTTTTGATCGCTGGTACTGTCGTTGGCGTCGCCGGCCTGGAGTGACCAGACCATTTTCCAACATCGTCGGCCACCAACTGTATCCGATCATCTGCGTCTAGTGCACGCGCATACGCTACCTCACCAACTCTGATAATTTGAGATTCATTTCGTGCTTAGGACTTGTTCTCGCTCACTTCGCACTCAACTCAGCGTGCCTTCCACACGTGTGCGGAAGCGCGAAAATGGATGTTGATTTTTACAAAACGAATCACGAAATATCGAAGTTGGTGAGGCCACGCAAACCCGCCAGTTTGGGTTTCAAATTCAAAAACTCTTAATCAAGTTTTCCTACGTGCGAGTTGCGCGTTTCGCGTACCTTTCAAGCAAGCTACCCAACCTGCCTCCTTCCCATGTGTTTTGGTTATCAAGGTTGCCCTCCCGCCGCATCCTCTGCTCTCTTCACTCTATCGCAACTCCTTGCTCTTCTCTCGCAGATCTGCTCTCCTCTCTTGATCACAACCCCTTCGCCCGTCCCCACCGCTCCGCGACGCCAGTCATGCTGGCTCGATTTCAGAAGTTTCGTTTTTCGACTAGAAACGAGCCCAGAGCTGTTCCACGCGTTCTGGAATGTGTGTCGCGTGTGCGCGTCTTGCTCGCTTGTGGTGTGCGTGTGTGGTCAGGATAGCAGACGGGAGGACTTGTACGCTTTTTCCTGCCACTCAACAAAACGTCGGAAGTGTGACCGCTTGACTTGAGCGTAATCCGCGCGTTAGGTGCCGCGTTGCGGAGCGCTTGCTCATAGCTGTTGACCACCTGGCAGCCAACTTGCCACTTCGGGGGTCCCGGTATTCAGCTGTGGAGATGGTGAATATTTCGTTGGCAGTGGTGACGGCTACGTGCACGCGAAACTGTTTTCGCGAGGCCGACTTCGCCGACGTCGGGCCCAATGCCGAGCCTGAATCTTCCGAACAGAATCGCTCCCGCACCGATTTGTGGTAGGGCGTCGTCGACGCCGACCTGGGTGAGCGGGTGGGACATCTGTTGCGATGGTTTAATCACGACCGATGATGACGCCGACACTGCGGAACCGTGCACGGATTAGGGAATTGTGAATGAAGCACGTGGCGAGAGTGATTTGTAAGTAATCGTATTGCGAGAACGACGATACTTTGGAGCCAGTGCTTCATGCAGCTTATGCCACGGGCCTCGGCGAACGAGCACCCTGCCGTTTTAAATGAACTCTAGATTGCCCGTATCGCTTCTGTTCTTCGAAACACGTGCATCACGGACTTCTCGGGCAAAAAAAGTTTGTGTTTTTACTCGCAACTTTATTCAGAGCTCTGTTTCATTTACTACGAACTTCGGGATACAGCGAACAGATGCCGCGTCAGATTCAGGTTCGTTATAAGCCGGCTCGACTTATGTGTATGTCACAAGCAATGTGCACACTGCAAGCCTGGCTCTGAAGGTCTTTTCTATTTTATTGTTGTGCCCTGGCATTAACAGCCCTGTTGTGACATAAAAGCGTGAAAAAACAGTGTACTGTTCTGCAAATGGTGATAAAGAAAATAGAAAGGCAACAAATAAACTTTTTTTAAGTGAAGTAGTTTAGAGTAAAGTAAATGTATGGACTGAAAAAAAAAAAAAAAACTCGTTACGGTATTAGAACACAGGGCATCTAGCACACTGCTTATAGATGTTCAAATAGCTTCAGCAAAGTTTTTTGATGGTTGCAACATTTTAAGACTTGCTTGTCAGTGGCTGACTGACAGTTCCTCCCACCTAGGTTCCTCCTTTCCATGTCAATGCAAAGAGGGCATTGTGTTCTAGAGAGGGCTGGGGTGTTCTGGATTTTCTAAAACTCGTCTATTACCTGGGTTTGTTTCAGTTTCTTTAACAAAAGCGTTGTCGAAAGCAGGAACAGGAAAAAGAGAAAAGGGAGGAATGCTAACTCGTTTTGAGTGATTAGTATGCTACCCTATGCTGGGAATAGGAATTGATAGCAAGGTCATGGTTCTCACGAATCTCAGCAAGAGTGCTGCATTATGCTCCCATACTTTGCACATAGATTTTAGGTTTGGTGGATTCTGTCGCGACAGCTTTTGCTTTCACCTCTTTAACTGGCTGGGGATGCAGGGCATGAGTGCGGCATAGGGGAGTGCCTAGTCAAGAAGCGAAACAAAAATATATATATTTGATACTTGACAAAAAAAAGGGGGGGGGGGGGGTTACATGTCACACTCAACTCACACTGTGGGGAAATGTTGGTGAGAAAGATTCATATTTATGTACAGTGAAATATTCGTATAATTAATTTCAAAAGACCACTAAAAATTATTAAAAGTCAGTAACTTTTTAAAATTGTTACTCGTTATTTTGAAGTATTCAGGGATAAAAGGAGGGATAAAGTTCGATGCATTTCTGTGAAACAATTCGTAATCTTAAATTTGTTGCAGTGACGTATTTTTACATTAAACCAATGGATATTTGAAAGGTGATTTTTGAAAATTCGTTACCACCAAAAAATCCTTGTACTGAGGTTCGCTATAACGAGAATAGAACCCCTCTACAAGAGGGACTCATATAACAGCCAAATGGCTATAAGATACAACCATGTGCCTACTGTAAAATACCACTTGATAAGAAAATACATACATGGTACTTTGCCTATTGAGACATCTCATATAAAGGACAACAATTGCTGCCCAGAGCATGCCTCTTGTAAAGGGCTTCACCTGTAAAGCTCACGACATGCACTTAACTGGAAGAGTATACTGTGTGACAAGGCCACTGAGACGGTTCACTTGAACTTTAATTGGCAATCATGATTTCACTTACGACAATCAGTCTTTGCACGCAGAGCAAACTGATTGCTAGTGTTATTGATATTTGATAGACTAGTGTCTTATTGCCTAAATAAAGAAAATGAAAGTTTCTCAGTAGTGTGAGTAAATTAACCAATGCAGTAGACTCTATTAAACGAAACCTGAAAGGGACAGGAAAATGGGTTTTATTTAATTTCATTTCAGATGCAATTTTGTTGTAATGGCATGTCAAGAGATTGCTACTACAGTAAAACCTTACTGGCAATTTCGCAAAAACAGAGAACAGTCGAACAGGTTCAACATTTTCATTATAGTCCTGTGCTAGAGCCGACATCCTGAGCAATCTTTTATTTTGTGTGTTCACTGGTGATCATGCTTCGATCACATGCTTTGTGCTCTTGCTCTTTTCAGGCGGCAAACCAGTTCATTCACCAGGAAGAGATCGAGTAAGCATTCCTTTTATCGTGTTTTGTAGGCACACGCACATATCACCGAAGTGTCTGTAGCAGAAGTGTGCAAATATTCTAATATTGTTCTAGGTATTCGAACTTCCACCAAAAAAATATCGTAAAGGAAAACAATTGTGTGAATCATAAATCAAGATGTAGCATGTTTGTTATCGCATTTTTGGGTCCCGACTTGCGAAACTGCTAGCCGCTTCCACCAGTGCTTTGAGCGGTCTCTGCCTGATGGCCTTGGTTGTCCACTGCGGATATACAATATGCCCATATCCGCATTTCTGAGGAGCCAGTGTGTAAAACACATTGTGGCGTTTTTGCTAGTGCAATGTTCCTGCCTCCTGCAAAGTTAACTACCAATATAATATAACTACCAATAACTACCAATATGGATAGATTCATCTTGTACAATGCTGCCGGAAGCATAGATAGGCCTAACCATGACTATGGCAGTAAGTTCATCCTAACTTTGCAGTTGCGGAGCACAGTGTTTCAACATATGTCGTTCTCAATCACGAGTTGAAGGAGTCATCCCATGATGGTCTTCTTTGTGAGATCCGATGTGCTGATAAGCAGAACATCTTGGTGCGGTTTCCACTAGTCCAGATGTGCATCTACGATGTTTGCGACGAGTGCAGCGTGCTATCATAGTCAAATGATTGAGGCCACAACAAACACTTTTTCTTCTGTTGTCCTGTTTCAACAAAATTTCACAGTGCAGTTCCAAGCTCAGATATTTATTGCTATGCAGTAGACACAGTTTTTAACATTTTGATTCATTTTCAGAACCTGAAAATATGTTGCCAAAGTTTAAAACACGCATTGGAACCACCAGAAACGCCGCTGTTCAGTAAGCATAGGCGCCACCATTGCTCGATAGCGGTGGCAATGAGACTGCCCTGCTTTTGCCACTGGCTTGATTTTGAGCCGCAGGTGATCCGAAGCTGAAGCTTAGTTGCTCAGTTCATGGTTTCCTTCACCCAGCTGCAGGGTGCAACTGCGGAACGATGCCTTTCCCGATACCAATGCTTATCATTTTGTTCGCTCTTGGCCAGTGCGGTCAGAGCGGCTATTCGTCCTCATTATAAACATTCAGCTAACCGCAAGTGATAGATGATAAGAACAGTATAGAATGAGGCAAAAGTCGCCACTCCACGATACCCTGCCTCCATCTCGGCGTTGTCAAATACACTTTGACGGCGGACACCTCCTGGTGTTAACGTGTTAATGCAACTGTTTGGTTTGTTCACTAAAGCGGTTGTAGGCATTGTTTCAGCATGCTTTTCATCATGGCCTTGCTATGCATGGGTGAGAATCGCGTCGCTACGCTGCTGGGAAAGAATAGGAAGCAGCGCACACTTTTTGAATTTTAAGAATAAACGTTCATTTGTTTTGCTAGCTCAGATTAGCTATATTTTTTTTATTTCACTACAACAGAATTTTCGCTTCAACAAAATTTTTTTCGTGCCCTATCAGTTTTGTTGTAGCGGGGCTCGAGTGTATTGCAGCTTTCAACTGCTCTATAGTTGTATGGCGTTTAATGACTATGCTGGGATGATTTCCAGTTCCCAGTTGTTTATTTATTTATTTGGACCACATGACCACCATTTCAGAATTCAGTGATATGTCTAAATTCAGGCTGCACTTGATGCATTTTGAATGTGCTGTGAGATAGATACAACAACTTAATGTAGGAACAAGAGCTGTTACGCAACAAAAAAAAAATTTGAAAGAAGAGCATTTATGCGAATTTTACCTGAGTAATGCTTATCCTCTGCTGCAACTATCAGTAGCATCAGTGCATTGTTCAGTAACCAATTTGGTTCCTTTAATGTATTTTTTCTAAAATCTGTCATTCTCCTCCATTTGAATGCAGGGCCTCCGAAAACCCTGGCCGACGGAAGGCGGGCAAGAAGCACCATGGAAAGGAGAAGTCCTCAAAGAAAAAGGGTGGTCTCAATCGCAAAGGAAGGAACCGACCACAAAACGCAAAGCACAAGAAGGGCAGGAAGAAGCAATAAATGGAATTTTTGTTGCACAATCAAGTGCGGAAATTCATACTCATTGGATTCTAGAAGTGTATAAGCTAGTTGGTAAGACATTCAGGTAAATTTTAACTGTTTTCCGCACTTGATTGTTGCACAATCAAGTGCGGAAATTCATACTCATTGGATTCTAGAAGTGTATAAGCTAGTTGGTAAGACATTCAGGTAAATTTTAACTGTGCAAAAAAAGAGACACGAGAACAAACTGGACAGGACTAAGAACTAGTTTATTGAAAAAGTACCCCCCCCTTTTCTTAAACAAGCTAAGCGCATGCGCAATTCGTCCCATCTTTCGACTCATTCATGTATTTTTTCAACAGAGAGCCCGATTTAATCTTTAGTAAATAGAAGTCTTGGAACTTGTCGCGTGGTCATGTTTGTCGTTGTGCATGCGCTTAGTTGGTTTCAAAAAAGGGAGTGTACTTTTCCAATAAACCAGTCGTTAGTCTGTGATCGTCCTGTTCACTTCGTTCTCATGTCTCGTTGTTTGCGCAGTTATAATTTTCCTACATTACTCATTGGATGGTTGGCCTATCATTTCGGGCTGTTCGCGCAATCAATCCAGAACATCAAAGTATAGTAATTTAGTGAGTGTCTAAGGACGGCAAAAACAAGAGCAGACGCGACACCTTCGCATGCTGCGAAGAAATGGCGTAAATGCCGCTATTGCTGCGCTGTTAATTGCCATGAAAGTGCAAGACTGAATGTTCAGTTTTACAAATATTCATAGCTCTTAGGCGAAGCAGAACGGTGAGAGCGCTGGATACGGGGAATTGCGAAGTGTTGGGTAAGCCAATTATACTCATGTTCTCCACAGCCGTTTGCGCGAAAAGCGTGATAATGTGGATCTCTTGTTATTGTTTTGAGTAGCCTTGACGGAGAGCAGTGATAAATTTAGCCATGCAGCCCAGCAGAGCTTCTAAGCACCGTGCACAGAGTGTAACATTGATGGTTTTGTTTATTACGAATGTTGCGACCGCTGTTTTTTTTTTCTTTTTTTTTTTCTATTCTCTGGTGTGCTATAATTTCCTTGGTGTCCTTTGTGGGTAGACCTCTAGCTAACGTTTGGCTGCAAGTCTGACAAGTGTTTGCTTTCTGTGTATATAATATGAAATACAATCCACGGCTCGAGGTAGCCTGGTTATGACACACACACATAGAAATGTTAATGAAGAGGAACTTATTTTCTAATTTCAATCTGTAACAGATGTATATGCAGACTGCACGAGGACCCATGCGATAAACAGAGCAGACCACTACTTAGCATTATCTGAAAGGGTCGCCACCACACAGCCTTGCGCACGTACGTTTTGAGGGCTCAAATTTGTGGCTTAAGTTAGCAAATGCTATCGCATGCATCATACTAATAAATTGCAGAATCTTGCTCACCATCTTCCGGTTTACCTCTGTGGTTGAAGGAGCTATCTGGGAGGTCATGGTTTTGCCTTTGGTACCCCAAGAAAATGTACAGGCATGTATCCCCATTCATAAAGTATGAAAATGGAAGACTACCGTCTACAAAATAGTCCAGGATGCCTTAAGTGACTGCTAAACGGAGAAAACAACTGCGAAAGCGAAAATTGCAAGTGCCATTCGTGCCTGATAAAGCGAGCTTTGTAGTTATAATCGTAACATACATTGCTTGTCTGTGTACTTTGTAGCTTTGATATTATGTACCTACCAAAATTTAACGCATTTAGATGCAAAATGCACTTTGCTGCTCGAATCTACTTGGGAGTCTCAGCATGCCAAAATAGCTGAAGCATCTTTTGGTAGTACCCACGGTTCGCTTTGATGAGCTTCCTACTTGCCTGAAGCATGAATGGATGGATGGATGAAGCTTTTCAGATCCTTGAATTTCGGAAAACTGCACCTCTACATTGATGAAAAAGAGCTCCTATTGTGGGCTATGCACACTAGCTTATGGACAGCTCTTTCCGCACTATGGCGTAAATGTAGCTAAAAAAATAACGAGGACAAGAAAGTGAACACCAATGAGCGCTTACTCACAATTGAAAGCTTTATTGCTTGAACACTCAAATAAGTGGGTGGGATTTTTTCGAGTGCGAAGTGTCACAGGTCCTGTTAATTCGGGAAGCGATCGCGGGGCTAATTCCAAGGGCTGAAGTATCGGCCCCCCGAACCGCACCACGAAAGCGTGGACAATTTAGAAGTGGTCCTATTTGGTGCGCCAGTGGACGCCGGCTGTGGTCCAAAGAACAAGTCAGAGCCGAGAGTTGATAAACAAAACAAAATTATATTCTCAGTTATGGCAGATCAAAACGATACACAAGTATGCACACTCGACAATAGTTGAATACAATATGTCACCAATCAAACAATGTACTACACAGTACAATCAGCCACACTTGAAACAACGGACACAGACAACAATACGCGCTACAATGCAGTTGCATGCATCGAACAATCAAGACACTTCCAGGAAACCTCGCGTCTTGAATTGGCCACTCTCCAAGCTTCAAACTTCTTCGCCGGAAACACGTCAGCTTCACACACGCAGCTGTTGCCACGCGTCTTCGCTCGATAGCGGTAGACACACACTCTTGTCTGTAGCTTGAGCCTTCACCCCTCAGGTGGAAATCCTCTTCTTCTCCTCCTTTGTCACGGAAGACAAAAGGCTTCGCCCACAAGGCGGAACACCCTACGCACTCTGGCGCATACTTTCTTCTTCTCCTGCTTTGTCACTAAGGACAAAACCTTCACCGACTAACGTGGCGGGATACCCTACGCACTCCGGCGCGAAATTCCTTCTTCTCCTGATCTCCCATCTTCGCTGCTCAATTAAATACCTTCTGCGCGAGGTTCCAGAAAATTCTCATCATTTCGTCGGCGCGATGCGCAGCGAAGGCTGGGGGAAAGCGTGAGACGGTACAAGGGCCGTCCGCGACGGATGACGCAACCCTGTATCACCACGCCCCTTTCCATCGAGAACTCTCTAGGGCTTGCTCGGCCGCCGATGCGAGGAGGTTCGTTGGCGAACCTACGCTTCCGAGGGGAGAGAGACGCGCGCCCGGGGAGTCTTTGGATGCTTGTTTTCCTTTTTTTTATCGATGACCTCTCGGCGCTTCGTCGCGAGAATTTGGCTGTGCGCCCTTTTTTGAGCGCTCGTTTTGTGACACTGCCCCCCACTTTAAAAATATTATCTCATAATATTCAAAACCACACAAACGAGCGCGAACAGTCCCCACACTCTCAAAGACTGTAACATAGTCCGTCGCTCATGACACGTCACATTCTCAATAGATCACTCAATACAATTGTACATTGTAATTCAATCTCACAACACATGAGATATAACAACAGGTACACGAGTACAACACTCCATCACATATTCCAAACAATACAAATGTACAACGTTCTCTCATTACAACAATTGTAGAATACTATACATCACGTCACAGCACAAACACTGCGACACTTGTGACACAGGATAGCACAATAACAACACAGCCTATTGCATTCACTGCTGTCAGACTCTTCCAAAACATTCAAACTCGGCTAAGGTAGTTGGCACCAACGTTCTCACTTCCCTTGATGTACTCGACTCGGAATTGATACTCCTGCAGAAGCAAGCCCCACCTCAACACTCTGCTGTTGAGCTGTTTAGCCTGTTTTATGTATTGGAGTGGCTGGTGGTCAGTTTGGACCAAGAAAGGCACTCCGTAGAGATAAATATTAAACTTCTGTACCCCCCACACCAAGGCTAGACATTCTCTTTCGATGGTGCTGTAGGATGATTCCCGGGGAAGTAGTTTGCGACTGGCGTATGCTATAGGATGGAGGGTCCCTTCGTGTGACTGCAAGAGCACAGCCCCGAGGCTGGTGTCGGAAGCGTCGGTGCGGAGGATGAATTCCTTGGTTAAGTCTGAGAGGCGGAGCACGGGAGCGTTCGAGATGCATTCCTTGAGTTTCGCAAATGCTTTCTCGTGTGTCGTCGTCCATTTTACTAAGTTGCTTTCACCCTTCTTGATCAGTTCTGTGAGAGAGGCGCTGATCTCGGCATAATTTGGAATGAACTCCCGGTAATAGCTGGTCAACCCGAGAAAAGCGCGTACCTGTCGCTTCGTCTTTGGGGCGAGTGCAGCTTGGATTTTGTCGAGTCTTTCCAGTGAAGCAAGCATGTTTTGTCCAATGTGATGACTAAGGAAATCAATCTCATTCGTTTCCAACTCACACTTGCTTGGTCTCACGGTCAACCCGGCAGCCTGAATTCGAGCGAAGAGTTGTCTGAGAGTGGATAGGTGTTCCTCCCAGATCGTGCTTGTTATGAGTACGTCGTCGTAGTAATGTTCAACGCCCGGGATTCCCTCAGTGACTAGTCGCATCAGCCGGGCGAACACGGCGGGTGCCGTTTTGATCCCGAAAGGCATGTAGCAAAACTGGTAGAGACCGGATTTTGTCGAAAATGCAGTCTTAGGTTTCGACTGCTGGGAGAGTGGGATTTGCCAGTAGCCTTTAACAAAATCGAACTTAGAGAAGTATCTTTTGTTTGTGGCACTGGCGAAAACGGCATCTGCTCTAGGCATGGGCTCTGCACCTGCTATTATGAGGTTGTTCAGGCGCCGGAAATCGACGACAAACCGCTTGGTTTTGTCCGGTTTGTCCACAAGCAACACTGGGGAATTATAGGGCGATTTCGAGACTTCAATTATGCCCAGTGGTTTCATTTGCTGTACCTCGGCCTCGATGTTTTTAGTCGTAGCAAAAGGTAACGGGTACTGTTTGACGTGGACTGGGGACTCCATCACTGTCTCGAGGTGGCACTCCACCCAATCTGTCTTGCCCGGGACATTCGAAAATATTTTAGAGTGCGCTGTCATGATTTTCTCCAACGCCTCCTTTTGTTGGTCCGTAAAACGTGGGCAGATCTTGACGTCAGTAATCTCTTCTGTCTGCAAAACTCCGGCACCGGTAGTTCCTGTTCATCTCCATTGTCAATAACCCCTACGATGACATGGCATTGATGTGGCGCATCTCGG